CTTCAATGGTTCAAAAAGGATGGTGCATGGCGAAGTTGATCTTCCAATCAAGGTGGGATCTCAAGTCTTCAATTCAAATTTTTATGTAATGGATATCCGCCGGCCTAATCTTGCTTGCTCGGACGCCTATGGATCCACGGGGAAGGTGCGGTTACCTCTACATTATGTCAAAAGCTAAAGTACCCGGTGAAAGGAAAGATTGTCAAAGTTTGTGGAGAGGAAGAATATATGGTCAGTCATTTGAATTCTTTCAAATATGTCGAAATGGATGGTGAATTCATTGAAACCCCTTTCCAGACTTTTGAGGTAATCCCTTCGATGATTGCTGTTGCTAAGGCTACTATTCCCGAGGTCTCTCAAAACCTACCAAGAATGGCTTCCTTGAAAGATGCAAGGGCTGTGGTAGAAGATGAAGGTTGCACTATCTGGGGACAACTTCCTGATATTCCCTACAAGTCCAACAAATTTGGTTTGGGTTTCACTTCAAAGGATCGGAAAGAGGTTTGACGTTCGTGCTGGAGGACCACCTTTTCGTATTAGCAACAATGAAGTCAATTCTCTGGAAGACGCTGATAGTGATGGTGACTTGGACGATTGAATATTCCCAACTATTGACGGTGGACTCAACAACTGGATGGATAAAGACTTTGTTTCAATCTCCTTCATCCAGGAGTAATTGTTATTTCCTATGTTTAATGCTTTAAGAAGTTTGTCTGTAATTTCTTTTAAAACATTGACTTTAAACCTTGTGCCTTTCCCGGGGAACAATGGTCAATTTGTTAAGGGTTGTCATTTCATATATCATATGCTCATTTAATAAAAACATTGGACGATTTTGCATTCAAATTTTGCGCTCCTTGTCTTTCTTTTACTTTACTGCATTTTCAAATAGCCATGTGACCTTACACACACACACACATTTGCAGATCCACATCCATTCTGGGTCTTATTAACAACAATTATGCTTATGCCGTTTATAACTTCGAAAATCCAATCTATTAAGACGAAGACAAAGGTGAAGAAGATTGTGAGATATCTAGAGAACTCTTCAGACTCCTGATACAAGAGGAAAAGACCATCCAACCGCATGAATAGCCGATCGAGGTGATAAATTTAGGTACTGAGGCAGATAAAAAAGAAATCAAGATTGGCGCCAACCTGGAAGACGGTGTCAAGAGAAGATTGGTCCAGATGTTGCACGACTATGTTGATGTATTCGCTTGGTCATGCAAAGACATGCCATGGCTCGATACTGATATCATGGTTTATCGTCTGCCAATGAAAGAGGGTTATTCTCCGATCAAACTAAAAGTTTGTCACATGCGTCCTGATATGTCAGAGAAAATCAAGGTTGAGGTAATGAAACAGTTCAATGCAGGTTTCTTGGCAGTGACGTCGTATCCCCAATGGGTTGTAAATGTTGTTCCAGTGCCAAAGAAAGATATTAAAGTCCGTATATGTGTAGACTATAGGTATTTAAATAGGGCAAGCCCCAAAGACAATTTCCCACTACCATATATTGATGTCTTGGTTAACAACACTGCTAAACATAAGATATTTTCTTTCATGGATGGCTTCTTAGGGTACATCCAAATCAAAATGGCGCCTGAAGACATGGAGAAAACTAATTTTGTCACACATTGGGGCACCTTCTGTTATAAGGTCATGCCTTTTGGGCTGAAGAACGCATGCGCAACTTATCAACGAGCTATGGTGGATTTATTTCATGACATGATTCATCATGAGATAGAAGTCTATGTTGATGACATGATAGCGAAATTGAAAACTAAGGAAGAACACATTGACCATTTGCACAAGTTGTTTGAAAGGCCGAAGAAATACAAGCTGAGGTTGAATCCCAACAAATACACCATGGGGGTAAGGTCTGAAAAACTCTTAGGTTTCGTTATTAGTGGAAAAGGAACTGAAGTCGACCCTACAAAAGTCAAAGCTATCGAAGAAATGCCAGCTCCCCGTACTGAGAAGGAGGTCAGAGGTTTCTTAGGAAGACTAAACTACATTGCCCGATTCATTTATCACCTGACTGCTACTTGTGAGCCACTCTTCAAGCCGTTGAAGAAATATCAAATAGTAAAATGGAATTACGACTGTCAAATGGCTTTTGATAAAATTAAGGAATACCTTCAAGAACCTCCAATCCTGATGCCACCAGTTGAAGGAAGACCTTTAATCATGTACTTAACCGTGTTAGAGAATTCAATGGGGTGTGTGCTGGGGCAACATGATGAGTCTCATCGAAAAGAGCATGCAATATACTACCTTAGCAAAACATTTACCGACTGTGAAATAAGATATTCACTGCTCGAGAAAACTTGCCGCGCTTTGGCATGGGCTACTCGCCGACTAAGACATTATATGTTGACTCATACCACTACAAGAAAATTAGTGTTTAACGACACAAAAATTGCGACAGTTATGTGATAACTGTCGTAATTGACATATAGAGACAGTGTTTACGATAGTTGACACCAACCGTCCCTAATATTTATTTTGCGACGGTATATTTAACCATCATAATATTATTATTACGACGGTAAAACAACCGTCGGCCCCCATTTAACACTTTTAACATTGATTTTTCACCAACAACTAGTCACGACGGTAAAATTAACCGTCCTAAAAGGCATATCACGACGGTAAAGCACCCGTCGCACCCTTAAACCTTTCACGACGGTAAAATTATCCGTCCTAAAATTCATTTCACGACGGTAAAACAACCGTCGCACCCAAAACCTTTAAAAATTCTCATGGGCACGACGGTAAAACACCTGTCGCAGTAAAAAAGTTAAAAAGCTCATAAAACATCTATTAGAATGTTTCTTTAACAGTATATTGGAATTCCTTGAACAAGTTCTGTTTCCGCGGCATCCTCGACGAATCAATCGGCGAGGGAACCCATTTCCTCATCCCATGGGTTCAAAAACCCTACATCTTCGATATCAAAACCCGCCCCCATACTTTCTCATCAATATCCGGCACCAAAGATCTTCAAATGGTTAACCTAACTCTCCGAGTCCTCTCTCGTCCTGACACCGTGAAACTCCCTGTCATCGTTCAAAACCTCGGTCTCGAATACGACGAGAAAGTCCTCCCTTCGATCGATAACGAAGTTCTGAAATCTGTTGTGGCGCAATTCAATGCTGATCAGCTCCTTACTGAACGTCCTCAGGTTTCTGCCCTTGTTAAGGAGACTCTTGTCCGACGTGCTAGGGATTTTAACATCCTTCTCGACAATGTGGCGATCACACATTTGTCTTATGGTGCTGAATTTTCGCGAGCCGTTGAGCAGAAGCAGGTTGCTCAACAGGAAGCTGAGAGATCTAAATTTGTAGTCATGAAGGCGGAGCAGGAGCGTCGGGCTGCAGTTATTCGAGCTGAAGGAGAGAGTGACGCTGCTATATTGATTTCCGAGGCTACTGCTGTGGCTGGGATGGGGTTGGTTGAGCTTAGGAGGATTGAAGCTTCCAGGGAAGTTGCTGGAACGCTTGCGAAATCGCCTAATGTTACTTATCTTCCTGGTGGAAACAACATGATGATGGCTCTTAATCCTGCTAGTTGATTATCACGGTAATCATCTTTTCTTCACTTTTCAAATTTTTATTTATTTATTTATTGAGTTTGGTTTTTCATTGCGGTTATAGTCATGAATTGAGGCACACTGCAGTCGATATATCAAAAACCTTGCTGTCACAATTGAAATTGCAGTGGCAGGTGGCAGACCTTTTTAAAACCCTAGTTCATTGCTATTTGTTACATTGCAATCCACACAATGTGTGTTCTTCATATTTATGGTTGCCATTGGATATAGATATATAATCAATAGTTAATAAGTTACTTGAGTTTCAATTGTAGTTAAGTAGCAGGTGTTGAAGTTGTTGGTAAATGCCACAGTGATATTGGTAGCGATGCAGTTTTTGAGACATGTTGTGATGTTGTTGCTGTAATATTGTTTGACGTAGAGTGATCTGGAAGAAAGTGGGGTGTTGCTTTTTAGTCTTCCAGTTGAATTAATGGATTATATGGAGGGTTCTTGTGAATGTGGTTGTTTGTTTTGGTTCTCGGTAGGTTGTACTTATAGCTTTTAGGAGGATTAGACTTAGATAGAGTGCTTATGGCGCTGTTCTGACCTTTCCTCTCCTAATAATTTTCAAGTTTCTTTCTCAAAGCTACATATTCTTTCTTCATTTGTTGATAGCTCTTCCTACACCTGAGTATGTTACAACAACAACCATTGTTAGGAATCATATTCCATAAATAAATGACTTAGATTTAATGCATGTTTCATTACCCTTCTGCATTTCCTGTCCTGCAATATTCTCTAATTAGAGTCGATTCTGCTTTCACCTTTTTGGCCCCAATGCTGCACAAATCACTATTTTATTCAAATCATTGTTCAACTAACATACTTTACACCTGAGGTGATGATATATACCTTGAGCTGCTTCCTTTAAACTGGTGCATGATTGTGTCCAGTTTGTTGAAATCCAATGGATTCCTCTCCCTTCCACATGCACAAAATCGACACCAATTTAGTTTAAAATTATGATGGAATTAACACACTATTATAAACTTACAGTGTCTGTTCCAAGTTAGAGATAAGCCTAGATGAATCGCGGTAGTAGAGAGTGACAATTTCCTCAACAAAATTAGGATTAACATCATCTTGCAATTCTTCAAGTTGGATAAATTGTTCATCAAGAAGCCCCTGCATATTTCATTATTACTTAGGTAACTAACTAGCTAGCCATCAATATTAATCAAGACTACAAGAGTCTAATAACATTCTATATATATACCTGATCAAACAGTGACTGTTTCATTGCAGCAACTTGTCTGCGACAATTGTTTCTGTCCATGATGATATGATTAGAAGAAGAAGATGAAGGGACACACAAGGAAAGAATAATAAAGGAAGAGGTTGGAATTGAAATTTGGGGTCTGAGTTTTCATGTATGATTAAAGAGGCTAAAGCCTTGGGGATGGCTCTCGGCGTCTCTTGTTTGAATGGGTAATATTTAATAGAAGTTACAGTTTGATGGTGTTTTGCTTTAAAGAATGCTATCATATTTTGCCGGAATTGTTGATGTTCAAATTTATTTATGGACTAATAAAAAATTAAAATTTGTATGTAGGGTACTAAACATATATTATTTAGAAATGATATTATCGAATTTTTATTCCTCTTGAAAGTTGATTGAACAAGTTGCATTGATGGATGCTAAAGAACCAATTTGAACTGATAGCATCTTGCTCTTTTTCGAAAATGCAGGATTGAAGAAGCTGAAGCACAGTGTGCTTTGTTGAACTCTGAATCATTATGCGTAAGCACTTGTCTACTTTGTAATTATCAGTTATTTTTGGGATACTAGTACTATTGCTGTTTGCTAATATCATGATTGTTGTCATTCATTGTTGAGAATTATAGGATGGATGTTTCAGTTCAGATTCAGATATATTTCTCTTTGGTGCAAGGACAGTGTACAGGGAAATCTGCCTTGGTGAGTATATCATTTGGTTTCGTTTTTAAATATTATTGTTGAATATATTTTTGTGCTAATTGTATTTTTCGTATAAGTTCTAAGGATTTTTTTGTACTTTCATATGACTTACAAGAATTTTTTTTTATTAATGAGTTAGGAGATGGTGGATATGTTGTATGTTATGAGATGGCAGAGATTGAAAATAAACTTGGATTGGGACGGGATTCATTGGTAAATTTCTGATTGATGTTTTAACATAAGAGTCACAATGCTTTCTTAGACGATCTTTCGTTGTTTCTTGTCAATTCAAAATTCAAGGGTATTGAGTTCTTGTTCTGGTGAAAATCAGTAACCGAGTAACCCATGATCTTCAGATTGCTCTCTCTTTGCATCTCGGCAGTGACTATCATCAAGGAGTCCACGATTCGAACTTCAAACCCTTCAAATTGGTTTTTACGACCAAGATATGCAATGGAACCGAAGCCGACGAAGAGGAGGCTTTTTCCGGTTTTCTATTTGGCACGAGATCGGCTTCAGGTATGATGTTCTCTAATTTATGCATCTTTCCTCTTCTACTCCATCTTTTCTGCGATCCTGAATGTGTTGTTAATGGGACGAATTTGTTGATTCCGTGATATTGATAGTTGTAGGTGATTACGGGCAAAGCTTTTGCAGGTCACAGTTTGTGAAGGTGGATGTAGCAGGTCTAGAATTCTGATTATATGTATTTGTGGGCTTTGGTTTCCATTCCTTATTAAAAAGAGCTTTTCGAGGGCCATTTAATTGTTGAGACCGGTTATTGTAATTAGAGGATGGAAGACTAACTGAAGGGCTTCCGAGAGTTACCGATGATGATGGGGATGGTATCTCATTGCCATGATTTTTTTCCACTCTCGGGGATTTACCTTGAATCTTTTATTTCATAGAAGAGCTACTAGTCTCAGAAAAAGCAGTTAATTTGTTCTTGGCTGAGTTAACAGCATTTGATTCTCCATGAGAGTGTTGGTTTTCCACTTCGCGTCTAATGGCACCAACAACACCAGGAAGCCATGAGTTATCAGATGGAACCAATACTGGATCAGAAGAATAGAAGTGAACAATCGTTGAGGATGCCGGCCCAGTTTCAGAAGCAACAGTTGCAACTTGATTTGATTTATCAGGAGATGAAGTACTATCCACATTATTACTATTATTTCTAGATAATTGAACCATTATGTCTCTGTTTCCAACAGATGGTGGGGAAGCTAAAGGAAACATGAAACTGTGGTGGATCTAAGCTTGTGATAAGGTGTTTTTTCTTCTTCTTTGATTCAGTTGATCTGTTGTTATGATTCAGTATTTTTGTTTCTGAATGCTGTGAAATTAGTGTTGATGTTGGAAGGTAATGGTTGTGTGTGAGCAGTAGCATTCTCGGAGGGAGGTTATGGAAGGGGTTGTTTGGTGTATGGAAAAGGTGAGTATTGTATGGAAGGGGTTGAACAAATACTAATGCATAATATAGGAAAGGACGATACCATTTTACAAGTGATTGATGCTTATTTGAAGCCAAAATGCCACTCAGCTGATTCAGACTTTGTGCTCAAGTATGTTATTTAATTCATTGCTTCCAGTTCCTTTACTATACTCAATATTGATTGGAATTTAGAATATACTAATCAGAACCTACGAAAGCTATATGTTAATGGTAAAGTTTATCTGCTATAGTTCTGAATCTGGTTACTAATTAGATACGCACTTAAAATAAGAATTTGCAAAAATTTCTGTAGGGCTCATTCTCAGTATCCATTTCAACGTACTAAGCTCCATCATATATGCGCTGTATACTTCGAATGGCCTTCGGAGAGAACATGTACTTTATCTAATTTCAAATGCTTATTCTTGTAACTCAAGAATTTGTGCTCCGAGTCATGTCATTAGTCTTAGTCAAGAATTGGTATATGCTACCTCTTGGATGAAAATTTGGAAGTTGTTTGAAATGCTGATTGTTGGTTCATGAAATAGATGGATATATCCTTCCATGTATAGCCGAAAGGGATTTACGACGATTTGCCAATTTGCGATCAACTTCGTCTGAACTTGGGTTGAACCTTCCTTTACATGAGGTACTGCTAACTCTATTCCAATGGAAGACAAGTATATTAATTTGACGCATTTAAAGTTAAATTTTATGAGTATTATTTTAAAGATTATTATTTTAATACCTTTTTTTAGGGATTGGAATCACCCGCTGATGGTAGACGTTCATCTGAGTCTAGCTACCGTATTGGAGATAATGGAACTTCAGGGGGGACAAATTAGACTTTGCTATGATCGAGATAATTAGATTGTGAACTTTCTCATGTATTTTTGGCATAATGATACTTATTATTATAAGATTAGGAATTGATATATTTTGGGTTTTTTTGTACTACTTGACATGATTATGGAACTCGCATTTTACATGATTATGGAACACACATTTTTTTGGATATTATAATGCTTATTTGATGTTAAATATTTTTTATTGAAATTATTTTTACTATATTACAAAGTGATAGAAAATAAAACAAAAAATAATACTATAAATAAATATATTAAAGAAGAAATAATTTAAAGAAAAAAATAACACAAAAAAAAAACTATATTTAAAATTTTTTACATAGATAATAATTTAAATAAAAAATATATATAATAGAAAAATAAAAAAAAATCAAGACATAAACAAAAGTCATGGCGACAGTACCGAACCGTCGTAATCAACAAAAGTCATGACGGTATCGAACCGTCGCCAAAAACAATTTAATCAATTTCAAAAGATATTCACGACAGTATCGAACCGTCGCCATCAATAATTAAAAGAAACTCAAAAGATAGTCACGACGGTATCAACCCGTCGTAAACTTGAACGACAGTTTTTGTAACCGTCGCGAAATAGGTTGGGGACACACACTTCTGCGACGGTAAAGCAACCGTCGTGGAAAGCAAATTGCGACGGTTTTAACCGTCGTAATCTACAAAAATACCTGTCGCAATCTGCCAATTTTCTTGTAGTGTACTACTCTATTGATCTCTAAGATGGATCCTATCAAGTACATATTTGAAAAGCCTACTCTCTCTGGAAGAATAGCTCGAAGGAAAATGATTTTAACTGAATATGACATCCATTACACCATACAAAAAGAAATCAAAGGGAGTGTACTGGCAGATCATTTGGCCCACCAAGCTGTAGATGACTATCAGTCTATACACTTCGAATTCCCGGATGAGAATATCATCCTGATTACAGATTTTGAAAAGCCTGGACTGTATGAAGTACCAGAGCAAGGATCCCTATGGACTATGGTTTTTGATGGAGCTTTTAACGCACTGAGTAATGGAATTGGTGTTTTGATCATTTCCCATGAAGGTTGACATATGCCTTTCACTGCCAGACTTTGGTTTGACTGTAGCAATAATATGACTGAGTACGAAGCATGCATCTTGGGTCTTAAAGCTTCTATTGACCTAAGAATCAAATTCTTAAGTGTATTTGGAGACTCAGTTTTGGTAATCAGTCAAGTTAAAGGAGAGTGGGATACAAAACATCCAAATATTATCCCTTATAAAGAACTTGTGCTAAACTTGATCCCGTACTTTGATGAGATTACCTTTGAATATATCTCGAGGGAAGAAAATCAGTTGGCATATGCTTTATCTACCATGTCATCTATGTTCAAGGTCAAGTGGGACAACAAAGCTCCCAGAATTATTGTCAAAATATTTGAGTAACTAGCACACTGCTTTGAGATTGACACTGATGGAGTAGAGGAGAAGCCTTGGTTTCACGAAGTGAAAGGATATCTTAAAGCTCAAGAATATCCTGAAGGGGCGTCAACAAACGACAAGAAATTCCTATGTAGGTTCTATGACAAGTTCTTCCTAAGCAATGGGATTTTGTATAGGCGCAATCATGATTTAACTCTGCTTCGTTGTATGGACAAGAAAGAAACAGAGAAAATTATGGAGGATATGCATGAAGGCATCTTTGGTACTCACTCTAGTGGACATACTATGGCCAAGAAGAATCTAAGAGCTGGTTACTATTAGTCGACTATGGAAACCGATTGTTACCACCACTCGAGGACTTGCCATAAGTGCCAAATTTATGCTGATAAGGTTCACGTGCCTCCAGTTCCTTTGAATGTCATGACTGCTCCTTGGCCATTTGCAATGTAGGGTATTGATATGATCAGAGAAATAAAGCCTATTACTTCTAATGGACATCGTTTCATTCTTGTCTCCATTAACTACTTTACCAAGTGGGTTGAAGCAGCTTCATATGCCCCAGTTACCAAGAATGTTGTAGCCCGGTTCATCAAGCATAACCTCATCTGGTGGTATGATATCCCTGAGAGAATCATCACTGACAATGGTACCAACCTGAACAACACCATGATCTCTAAACTATGCATGCAGTTGAAGATCAAGCATCACAACTCTTCTCCATATAGACCTAAGATGAATGGCGCAGTAGAAGCCGCCAACAAGAACATAAAGAAGATTGTGCAAAAGATGGTGGTGACCTACAAACACTGGCATGAGATGTTACCATTTTCTCTTAATGGCTATCGTACTTCAGCATGGACATCAACTAGGGAAACCCCATTCTCTCTAATTTATGGTATGGAAGTTGTTCTGCCTGTCGAAGTTCAAATCCCTTCTCTAATGATTGTGAAAAAAGAAGACTTAGACAAAGACGAGTGGATTCAGACTAGATTGGATCAGTTGAATTTGATTGACGAAAAGAGGCTGACGGCTGTCTGTCATGGTCAGATGTATTAAAAACGTATGATCAATACATTCAACAAGAAGATCAAGCATCGAGTATACCAAGTTAGTGACTTGGTAATAAAGCGCGTCATTTTACCACAAGGTGATCCCAGGGGTAAATGGACTCCCACTTACTAAGGGACATTTATTGTCAAGAAAGTATTCTCAGGCGGTGCTATGATGCTAACCACTATGGACGACGAAGATTTCCCGCACCCTGTGAACGCGGACATAGTCAAAAAATACTATGCATAAGAATGACCCGCTAGGTTGACATACCTAGGAAAAAAATAAGGGTATCCCAGCGAACCAAAGGGTTCGGGAAAAAGTTAGGGATATATACAAAAGATTGTGCACATGGCAAGTCGAAAACTGAAAAGGCGACTTGGTAAAAAAAGGGTATCCTGCTGGACTGAAAACCTGAAAGGTAGGTTCAGGAAAAAAATTAGGGGTTAAAATAGTACGACTATGTCTGGTTGGATCACTTACATGAAAGCTTTATTACCAAAGTCGAAAGTTCAAATGGTTCAACGAACTTCTTCCGATGGTAAGGACGAGATGTTCGAAGACATATGGGCAATAACAGAGTTTGGAACCCAATGAGATGACTTCCACATGGCTATACATTTTGTTTTCACTTTGTATTATTTTCATTTCACGATGACTTCCTCTTACTAGGATTTTCATCTCTTTGTACAAAATCACCTATTTATAGGCAAATTATCAATACAAATACATCTTAAAGTTCAAACTCTTGATTTTTCTATTTTGTTTGCAAAAACGTCCAATGACTAAATTGAATGAACATATGCATATGAGCATGATTAAATGTTAACAAATATATGCATAAGAAAATGAATAAGCATTTACTCAAGATTCTAGGAGCTGGAATGACACTCAAGTTGTCCATAAATCCCCACAGAGCTACTTCCATGAGATTATCCCCACAGAATAATCTTCACAAAATTCATCCCCAATAAGGATACATTCCCCACAATTTCCTTACGGAGTTCCAATCAGTACACTTCATGAAAATTCTCTTCCCCAACTGAGTTTGAAAACTGTAAAACCCCTGCAGATTTCTTCTCTTTA